TACCTGTGAGGGTTTAACTTTTGAAAGTGTTGTTCTGTGTGGATCTGGACATGAATTCACAGCTTGGGTGGATTAAAAAGGTGTTTGAGGAGGAGGAGGAGGAGGAGGAGGAAGAGGAAGCTGTGTGGGCTGTGGATCTGCCGAGTTTAGGAAACACCCAAGAAAGAAGCCAAATGTCAGGATGAGCTCACTGGGCACAGGGTGGTTTCTCTCCTAAACTGTTCTGTTCTGCTCTCTTTTGCAGTTTGCCCAGCTGGTGTCTGTSTACAAATCCTTGGGCCCGGAGAAGTTCCCTCTAATCGAGCAGACCTTCTACCCAAACCACAAGGAAATGGTAGGTGCCACCAGCAGTGCTGAATCTGCTTTGTGCCCCTGTGAAACAGGCACTGGGACACACAATTCCCATTTCCCGTTTACTGTCTGTTCCAAATTTACATTTACCATTGACTATGTGTTCGAAATTTATGTTTCCCATTTCCTGTCTGTTCCCAAAGCCCTTTTGGCAGTTTTTGTGAGTATGAGACAGGGTGACCACCTGAAAGCCCCATGATGGTGAGCTGGAGGCTCTCAGGTGGGATGGGGTCACTCTTCAGCTGCTCAACTTCAGATCTCAGCGGGATTAAACCCTTACAGAGACACTGAAGGGTCATTGAAGTGCAGGAGTCACTTCCATGGTTTGTTTTCCCCCGTTTTTTTTGTGTCTGTTCAGTGTTTGTTGTGTTTGGAGGGGATGCCCTGGGTTCTGCAGAGCTGTGAATTCGCCCCAAATCAGGAAGGTTGTGGCTTGTGATCTCCAGATACCTGAGCTAATACTGATCCCCAGTCCTTTCCAGATGAAAAAATAACAGATATAAACCTGCCAGAGTCCAAGGATGAGGCTCTGAGAGGCTTGGATTAGGTTTGGGCAGGAGTGAGGAGCAGGAAGCAGGACACAATGACTTATCCCACACTTGTGGGATCCTTYCAGCTTGAGGTTGGCAATGATTTTACCAAAAAAAAAAGCGGCTCTTTTGGGTGCATTGCTGAATCGCAGCACACAGAAACAAAGAACATCTCATTTTAGGGCAAGAATTAATGTGTCAGACTTACAAGTTTACATGTCATATTTTTCCGAGGAATATAGCAACTCTCTGAGTGGTTTTCCCTGCCTTCATTCCTCCACATTGCTCATTAAAGTCTGAGCTAAGAAATTATTTCTCTTTTGGTTGAACTTTTGAATGCTGTTCTCCACAGCCAAGTAATTTCTGTACACATTTCTATGGTAATGAATGTTAATCTGGAGAAAATGAACACGTCTGGGTATTGCATTGCCACTCAGCTGCAGTAACTGKCTGTGATGACACTCATTTGTTTGGTTTTGTTCCTCCTGAAGAAAGCTTTTGGAACTTTGTGGTTTGGGGAATAATCAGGCAGTATGGTATAAAAAAACTTTTTGTTTGAATTTCTGGGGTGGGTTGTAAAATGATCTGGAAATCAGAGCTTTCTGATGCTGAGCTGAAATCACATCATGTTATTTTGTTTAGGGGTTTTCAACACTTTCTCAGCAGCTGGCCTCATTTGTAATTGTTGATGCAGAATTTGGCAATTACAGTTTAACATTTCCTTCTTTTTTTTTTTTTGAGTTCTTCTTGCCTTTGCTCTTTCCCTTGATATTCCCCAAATGAGAATCTGTAGCTGTCCCCCCTCCAGTGCAAACCAGCTTGGGGGGAACATGGGGAGTGGGAAAAAGCCCCAAATTTCTGGGAACTGAGGGCCAGCTGAGCRTGCCAGAGGTGCTCCTTCCATCCTCTGCTGATCATTYGTGCYGAGGCTTTAGGCARTGAAAGGTAAATAAACCAAAATGCYGTTCTTTTGTGTGAAAATGGAGCTGCTTTAATGGAACACCTTTAAAACAGAAACATCCATCTGATTTCACAAAACTCTGTGAGGCTTTTGGGCTCACACCTCCAGCCTTYCCCTCAGGAATKATTCCCTTCATTTCACGGCATTCCYGCCTCTTCTGTTCCCTGCCRTGGAGAAAACAACGCRGCTTTTTCCACRTAATTGTCCAACAATTTAATTAAAACTTCACCGGAGCACTGAGGCGACACCAGCAATATTCCAGGTGGTGTTTCTTCCCTGTTCACCTGCTCAACCTCCCTTTTCTCCTCTTTCCCCTACTCTYATCATAACTCTTGTGAGTTATTTTSAAATTAAATTCAAATGTGCCAGGCTGGATTTCTGCTCTACCCTCYCATGTAGCACTTAACCGGTTTCAAGCAGTGAAAAGAAAAAGTTGTMAAAATAATCTGCTGTTGATAATATATCAATGCCACTGCAGCAGAAATCTTGATAGGAAAATAACTTATTCAGAATGCCACATTGTATTCAAGCTTTTTTAGAAACATCCACAGGGAAAATAAAAACTCATTCTGAGTGAGAGGGGGTTTTGTAAAGCTTTTCTTGCCACTTTCACGGATATGAGCTAAAAAAAATATTCTTTTTTGTGCCATCCATTGTGGGAAATTTGTCCAGATCTTTGCTGAGCCAGAAATCGAAGTAGACAGGCATTAATTGTGAAACACCTCATGTGGGATATTTTATGGCATTTAAAGAATGTTTTTATAACTAATTATGGCACACAATTTGTATTACAGMTATTCATAAATATCTATGAAAGCATTTATTTGTGCAAGGTGCACAAGGAGGGCGATCTGTGCTGGGTGAGTGGAGTGGGAGGTCCAGTGAGTGTAAAACTGAAACAGAAATAGAACTACCAGTTAAAAWGCAGAAAATATCTGTTTGCTGTGGGGGGTTACCCAAAAGACACCATCCCATCAAAATGGATTTGGGGACAAATGCTACAGTGCTTGTGTTGAATAGTAACCATTTAGTATTAATGATTGAATATTAACTATTGAATATTAACCAATGAATATTAATCATTGAATATTAACCACTGAGTATTAATCACTGAATAGTAACCACTGAATAGTACCATTGAGTATTAATTATTGAATGTTAACCATTGAGTATTAATCACTGAATATTACCCACTGAGTATTAACATTGAGTATTAATTATTGAATATTAACCATTCGATATTACCCACTGATTATTGTCCATTGAATATTAACCATTGAGTATTAATTATTTAATATTAACTATTGAATACTACTAATTTAATATTAACTTTGAATAGTAACCATTTAATATTAACCATTTAATATTACCCATTGAATATTAACCTTTGAATATTAATATTTTAATATTAACCAGCCCTTTTCTTGATCAGACTTTGTGGTTATTGAGCTCTCATGGGCTCCTCTAGGAATTGGTTTGATCTGGCATGAGGAAATAAGGCCTGGCTTTGAATCTTGCAGCAAATTAAAGATATAAATGTAAACAACGTCAGTAAATAGCTCTGCTAACATTGTCACTGCAATATCGATTCTTTTTTGGAGGAAATGCAGCTTTTTATTATTTTTATTTCATTTGTGTAAGTCTACAGTCCAAATTATTAGCATTCAGTAATTTTTGATTTGTCTTTAGTAAAGCAGAAGACAAGTTGGGCTTTCCATTTGGCAGCACATTTATATGATGTTTTAATTTCGGATTGCAAACTAAACGTCAGACTATTTTAAAGTAAATCAAAGTGAAACATTGATTTTTATGTATTAGGGGACATCTCTTCCTCAATGGAATAATGTGGTGGTTTCTTGTTGGCCTTGCACCATTTGCAAGAGCGTTTTTGCAAAAAATGATGCCCCATGCACCATTTTCCAAGAGGACAGGCATTGTTCTGCCTTTTCAGCTGGGGGTTATTCCCAAAAAATATAATTTACTGGAACTGTATAAACTTAGGCACAGAAAAAATAAATATTTTTTTCTCAGGAGAGCGTTTCCAAACMTGTCCTTTAGATAGGGATTTATAGAATGGTCAAAAGAAACATCAGAAATGTGAAAATATGTCACCAAAAATAATTTGTGCAGTGGAGTTTCTTTCAGGTATCTATTTATCTATCCAATGGCCACATCCTGGTGTGTCACAAGGTACATGGGACACACTGAATTCCACGTCCAAGCTGCTGCTCATGGGATTGAGGGGAATCAGGGATGTGCAAATGTTATTGGCCAGGTAAATCCCAATGGTTTTATCAGGACTCTACAGCAAACACGATGAAGAAAGGGTTTGGAAACCCCAATGTGCTGACTTTGACTGAGCCCCAGGCTGGATGTGCCCTCCTGGGGTTGGCAAAAACCTGGAAAACGTTGGGTTCAACCCTTTAAATAGARCTGATCCCACTAAATGAGAGCAGAGCTGAATTCCTGCCAGTGAGAGAAATCCAATGGAGAAAACTGGGGRGAGCCAAATATGTCAGAAATAACAGCTCTTAAAGATCCCCATCCTGCCTGAGAGCTCTCCCCCAGTCCTGGGACATGAGCAGCTGGACAACTGCCTGAATTCTGGCATTTACTGAAACGTTTCCCCAGGTTTCACCTCTGTGATTTCAATTACTTTTGCAACCTTAAAACCATGAGAGGTTAGTTATTAACTCCAGTCACCAATTCAGGAAAGTGAGGCACTGAAAAAGTAACAGGCAAAATGTGTTCTAAACACACAGGTAGCCAGATTCACTGGGGCAGAGCATGATGGGTGTTCATGAATGAAACACAATTAAATCATATTAAACAGGATCAGACATCCGAGAGCTTTCGGAAATCGCTGCAGTACAAATTATTCAATGTCTGTTGCACAGATTTTCACCAGAGTTTTTAAGCCAAGGCTTTTGATAATGCTGGGGTGCAGTGACCTGGTAACACATATCTAGGGAGGTGTTACCGAAGGTTCCATGAGGATGGGCAAGATTTTTGTAATTCTGAGCACTTTTAGCCTGACATCCTTTGTGCTGCTCCCATGGAATATCKGAAGCACTAAAACGGAATTAAAGTATTAAAAAAACATCTGATTTTTCCTTCAGCAAGGTGTTGCTATYCATGGGAATGCTGACTTGGGAAGAGGGGGGTGTGATTATCAAGGCTGCTTTTAATTTTAGTTATCCATGAAAATGACAACTCAGTGGATAAAGGAAGCTGTGACATAAGGAACGTACAAATCGTRGAGCGCAGATTGTTTTAATCACAGAAGTGTTCGCCTCGTTTTGACAGATAAGGAAATATTTGTGAATCTTTTTTTTTGTTTTTAATAGCACATTGTTATAATACTTTACATATACACTGTACAATAATTCTTTYGTATCCAAGACTTTCATACAGAAAAAAAAAAAACCCCAAAAACCCCAGTTCTATAAAACATTCCGCAGTTCGTCGGAAAGATTTGGAATAAAACACCGCGGGGAGCTCTTAATCTGCGGGCGAGGGGGGCAAAATTCTGGCAAAATCTTTTGTTCCTGTACATTCATATTGGCAAAAGGGAGCTGGTGACACCTCGGGGAGCGCTGGCAGCCCCTTGTCGACCCCACAGGCTCGGCCTTTCGGGACAGTTTGTTCCTAAGCGCGGGCGGTGGCAGTGCAGAGCCGGGAGCGCGCGGGCTCGGCTGGAAGGAGCCCCAAGGGTTGGATTTTTTGGGAAGGGAGCTCTTCAGGGCTCGCTGATGTCGATGAAGTCCTTCTCAGGGGGCGGTCCCCCCCGGTACCAGCTGCAGGTGCCATCACTCCTCTTGATGCAGGCGTAGTGCTTGGCCTGGTGGCCGTAGAGCTTCCTCTCGATCAGCCAGTCYGTCCACAGGCACTCGTTGGGAGCACTGATGGAGCAGGGCACCATGTAGCACGTGGTGATCTGCGGGGAGACGGCTCCGTCAATCACGACATTCCAGAATTATCCATAAATGGGAATTTCCCAGAGGACAGGCTCTGCCTTTCAGCTGGGGCTCATTCACAAAATTATCAATAAATGGTATTTTCTGGGAGGGCAGGTGTGGTTCCACTCTGCCTTTGAGGTTCATTCCCAAAATTATCAATAAATGGTATTTTCTGGGAGGGCAGGCGTTGTTCTGCTCTGCCTTTCAGCTGGGATTCACTCCCAAAAATATCAGTAAGTGGTATTTTCTGAGAGGACAAGCATTGTTCTGCTCTGCCTTTTACCTGGGGTTTGTTCCCAAAAATATTAATAAATGGTATTTTCTGACAGGACAGGCTCTGCCTTTTACCTGGGGTTCATTCCCCGAAATGATCAATTAATGATGTCCCAGAGAACAGGCATGGTTCTTCTCTGCCTTTCAGCTGGGGTTATTCTCAAAATTATCGATAAACAGTGTCTGACAGGACAGGCATCATTCTGCTCTSCCTTTTAGCTGGGGTTTATTCCCAAAAATACCAACAAATGTTATTTACCAAGAGGGCAGGCTCTTCCTTTCAGGGCGGATTTATTCCCAAAAGTATCAATAAAAGTTATTTTCCAAGAGGACAGGCATGACTCTGCTCTGCCTTTCTGCTAGGGTTTATTCCCAAAAATATCAATAAAAGTTATTTACTGAGAGAACAGGGAGCATTCTGCTCTGCCTTTCAGCTGTGATTTATTCTCAAAATTATCAATAAATGGTGCTTTCTGAGAGGACAGGGAGCATTCTGCTCTGCCCTTTAGGTGGGATTCATTCCCAAAATTATCAATAGATGGTATTTCTGAGAGGACAGGCAATGTTCTGCTCTGCCTTTTACCTGGGATTATTTCCCAAAATTACCAATTAACGATGTCCCAGAGGACAGGCATGGTTCTGCTCTGCCTTTCAGCTCTGGCTATTCCCAGAATTATCAATAAATGGTATTTTCTGAGAGGACAGGGAGCATTCTGCTCTGCCTTTCAGCTGGGGTTCGTTCTCAAAATTATCAATTAATGGTATTTTCTGAGAGGACAGGCTCTGCCTTTCCGCAGGGGTTTACTCCCAAAAATATCAATAAATAGTATTTTCTGAGAGGACAGGCACAGTTCTGCTCTGCCCTTTACCTGCAGTTCACTCCCAAAAATATCAATAAATAGTATTTTCTGAGAGGACAAGGCAGCACTCTCGCCGCCTTTCAGCTGGGTTTCACTCTCAAAATTATCAATAAATGGTATTTCCAAGAGGACCAGTGTGGTTCTGCTCTGCGTTCCAGCTGATATTTATTCTGAAAATTGTCAATAAATGATATTTTCTGACAGGCCAGGCTCTACCTTTCAGCTGGAATTCACTCCCAAAATGATCAATAAATGGTATTTCTGAGTGGACAGGCAGTGCTCTGCTCTACCTTTCAGCTAGAATTCACTCCCAAAATGATCAATAAATGGTATTTTTCGAGGGGACAGGCTCTGCCCGTCACTCACCTTGCAGCCACAGCCCATCTGGTACCTCTGGTTCAGGCTCTTCTTCTGAGACAGGGACAGGTCATCCCACGGCTCAATGTAGTTGCACAAATGGATGAGCACTTTGCCATCGCTTAAAATTTGGCCTGCAGCATGGAAAATGAAAAAAACAAGGCAATGGAAATGTCTTCTAAGCATTAAAAGTATAAAAACACTCAAAGATTTTAACTAATTGCATGAAATTACTGATACTCGTTGTTTTTTTTTTTTAAATTAATTTTACTATGACTGAGAGAGCATTCTTCTAATGGTATTCTGCATATATGTAAAATATTGAAGAAGGATGTTTTTCAAAAGATGTGGGTGATCTGCCAGGAAGGGATGCAGTTAAACCGTGTTAAACTGGATTTTAGGGCTCTCCAGAGCAATCTGCAGGGTTTTTTTCAGATCTTTTTTAAGTCTTTTTTAGATCTTTTTCAGATATGCAAGCACACAGGCATGTGTTGTCTCATCCTGCATTGTTTGCAGTCCTGGAAAACTCAGTTTTGATGGTTTTAATCAAATAGCAAATAAAATAATAAGAATCAAAATTCTTCCTATTTACTAATGACATTGTCATTGACCTTTACTTCCTTTAGAACTGCTTTAAGATTTCTGGATAAAGGATGGAAAATGTGTAGGATCACACTATAAGCACAGCTGAACACAATGYCTACATCTCATTTTGTTTGTATTCAGTACATAATGCATTCCTTTTTAGCAAATTTTAGCAAATTCCCTCTGAGCAGTTACTTCTGCACTCCCAGCAGCGCTGATTTTGTTCCATTTCGTTCCATTTTACCTGTTAGAAGATACTGTTTTTTGTTGTTGGCTTCTAGTTTCACTCCACAGAGCGATGAATCGAAAGGGGTGTAGACGTACTGGACATCCTTGAGCTTTTCAAACCCTTTAAACATCTGAAAAYGATCAGGAGCACAAAGTCAGGAGTGGAAAACAAGCAGGGAAAAACAGATGAAAACAAGAGCTAAGAGACACGGGATGAGTGTCTTTAAAGAAGGCTCCAAATTCTGAATAAACGTGAGAAAACACCGACAGCTGGACTTTCTCTCTACTCTTAGYGAAACACATCCAAAATTTTTAAAAGGAGATGATGTAGGTCTTCATTTTTTAAATTATAGGGTTTAAAATGTGCTTTTCCAGCTTATTTAGTGGACTGTTAAAAAGTCATATTTMTATTCATRTTCTACTGGCATTTTTCCATGTAAGGAGCAATRCAGAGGCAGCATCCATCCCAACCAAAATGCAAATATTTCTCAGTGTATTTAGATGGGGAATTTTCATGAATTAACATGAGAAAACACCAACAGTTGGACTTTTTCTCTACTCTAAGTGACTTTTTCTCTACTCTTGGTGAAACACATCCAGCAGTTTCAGAAGGAGATTATATAAGTCTTCATTTTTTTAAATTATAGGGTTTAAAATGTGCTTTTCCAGTGTATTTAGTGGATTGTTAAAAAATCATGTTTATATTCATATTCTACTGGCATTTTTCCATGTAAGGAGCAATGCAGAGGCAGCATCCATCCCAACCAAAATGCAAATATTTCTCAGTGGTCAATATTCACCGTTCAGGTGGGGAAATTCTCATGATCATAGTGGCTGTTGGTGTCTCCAGGGACACCAAAAATGCCAAGGATTTACTGAGCATTGCTCTCATAGCTGGAGACTAAAGCAAAGTGATTTTCTATATCCAAAACTCTGACCAGTGGGACCTGGAAAATGAGATCCAGCCCTTAGGATTCCCAGCCTGCAGCCCCAAAATGGAGAGATTTGGGATCAAAGCTATTTTCAGACCAGCTGCTTCTTGACAACTCTGAAAAGAAATTCAGATTTCTTCTCAAGCAGAGCGAGGGGGGACCCTGAGGTGCTGCTCAGGCTGGGAGGGGCTGTCACCAGTGCCCTGGGTGACATCAGTCCACGTGCTGCCAGCTGGGGACAATGGCCAGCTCTCCCAGTTGCAGCTGGTGTCACTGGGATTTGTGTTTGCCTCACTGCAGCCCTCTCAGGGATTTAAACGGCCCAGAGCACCAGAAAACACTCTGGAATATCTTGGTTTTTCTGAAGCCTTATTTATGGAYGGGGGAAAGGAGCCAACGCTGCTGTCACCGCTCTGCTGCTCCAAAAACACGGGATGGGACTGGGAATGCTCTGCAGAAAAAACAAACAGCCCCAAGCAGAGCCAAACACAGCCTGGCATCCTGCACAAAGCAGCAGTGAAAATCCCAGAAAAGCTCTCTAATGACGAGGGAAACGTGTCTGGGTTGGTTTCTCCCACTCCCAGCCCTCTCCTCCTTCAGAAATCTCTCCCTGGGCCTCAGGGCATTGTAGGGAACAGCTTTTCCATGGATATCTCAACCCTTGAGCTCTTCGGAGGCTTTCTGCAGACAGCACACCTTGATTTACCTATAAAAACCCCAAAAATATCCACAGCAATGGAAAATGGAGATTCAGATCATATTAAATGAGTTTGCTGCTTTATGCAGACTGCACACCTTGATTTACCCAAAACCCCCAAAAAATATCCACAGCAATGTAAAATGGAGATTCAGWCAATATTTACATGAKTTGGTGCTTTRTGCAGACTGCACACCTTGATTTACCTAAAAACCCCTGAACATCCACAGCAATACAAAATGGAGATTCAGTTCATATTTACATGATTTGTGCCTGTTTTGTTGCAGGTTTTGTAGCTGCTTGATTTTTCTCTTTTTTTTTTTGGAATGACTGATTTATCTCTGGGTTTGACCTACATGATTGTTACGTTTCTAAAGATCGTAATCTTGTGCTTAACTCTGTAAATCATATTTAATCTGCTCATTCTCCTGTGCCCTAAAAGCGTGGCTGTTTCCCTGTGAAGGGATAAGGTGGCTGGATTTGATTCTGCACTGTGGCACTGTCCTCATAAACTGGAGCTCCTTGTGGGATTTTATCAGAGGAGGGAACCAGGGGCAGGATTTGGGGCACAGAGATGTGACCCTGCTGCTGAAGCTGTATGGACACTGTCCCCATCCCCCTGAGGGTGTAACCAGCCCYAGCACAGGGCTTGGCTTTAGGGGTTTAAATTGAATGTGGTGACCAAGTCAATCACAGAAATATCACCATGAAATATTCAATTGCACATAAATCAYGTATTATCTCTTTCGTAAAATGCTGTAAATCTTTGAAGGAAAGAACAGTAACTGAAAAGATTTATGGCTTCTTGACCTGCCAACCCGTCCCCATCAAATAAATAACCCTGCTGTTATTTTTTTTCTATTTCTGGAAATGAACACCAAAATAAAATTTAATATTTCTCTCTAGAATAGCAACGTTTTAATGCTAAGCTTAATGCACTGGATTTAAAAGAGGAGAACCAGAATTTAAGCCACCCACATTAATGGAGCAGCTCAATAACCCTGAGAGAACAGAGCAGAGGAACAGCAGCACTGTGCTGATGTTACAGTCCAAAAAACCCTTCACAGGCTCTTTCCAGCAGGGGAGAATTGATGGGGAATGTGAATGTCTGAATGGCCCCAAAAACCTTCCCCAAAACWCACCCCGAGCTCCCCAGAACAATTGTGGAGGAATTTTCCAGCTCAGAAGGGATGATTGGAGCCTCTGCTCTCCCTTGCTGTGCCCTGTAAAGCCAATTCCTGCCCTGTGCCCCCTCCCTGTGCTCAGGATTGTCCAGAGCCCTGTGCTCAGTGCCACTGACACCCATGGGACCCTCCAGCCTGGAGGGACTGCAGGGAGAAGAGAAATCATTGCAGCATCACAGCCAGCAGGGAATATTCTGTCTTTTCACACTCACTGTGGAGGGATTTTTTACTGTTTCTTATTTTCTTTATTCTTTTCATTCTTAATTCTTTTCATTCTTGATTCTTATTCTCTTTATTCTTTAAGATGCTGTCCTCTGAGGTGACACACGGTGTGACCGAGCTCCTGCTCCATCCTCAGKAATTCCAAACAATAATTCAAACTGAGGAATTGCTCAGAACGCTCAGCCCTGTGTAATTTTTATCTCTGTGCCACATATCACTTGAGTTTTTGGGATGTCACAGGTCCCCTCTGTGGGGTTTTCCTTTGATGGGTTGGTTTTGGTGCCTCTCTGTGACCCCACAGAGGGTGGCAGGGCACAGAGCTCCTGTCTGCTGGGGATTTGCTGCCAAAGTCAGTGGTCAGTGGGGTGGTCAGTGCCTGGAGCAGGACAAGGTTTGGCCCTGAACCCCCTCTGCTCAGCAGGAAGGATTGMAGGGATTTCTGCTCTTAGTCTGAGCTCATCTATGAGGATGTGGAGCATCTTTTACCAAAAACCACATCTCTGCACCCTCTGAAGCTGAGAGGAACCAAACCAACACCTCCCACTGCTGTCTGAGCTCTGAACAAGGCTCCACTGGTGAAAATCAGGGAGAAACTCCAAAGCAGCTTTGATGGACAAATGTATGTCAGAGATTTCAGCGTGCTGGCGCTGAAGAATGGGATCACAGACTGAAAATAATCCCTCAGATTGGGCTTCTCATCCTCCCTGTTTGTGCTGAGGTGTAAAATTGGCATTTCTGTGAATTACTGAAGTGCTGCAGAGCAGCAGCAGAACACTGCAGTACCAGCAGGAGGAAGGGGAACCCCCTGAAAATGATGTTTTTATTCCTGTAAAGAACATTTGAATTTATCCCTAATATTCCAGAAGACAGAAAGTGGCAGATGGTGAAGAGCTTTGGGGTTTGTTTTAGCAAGGCAAAGGCCGGATTGCAAACATTATTAYAAAACCTTGACAAAAGTCATGTGTGATGACCATCCTGGTGAATATTTTGAGATATTCTTGTTTACTACAGATTTCTCTCAGTTAAACTCCCATGAGGGGATTGCATCGTGGGTACAACTGGAATAATTGAATTTCCTTTGGAAAGCACGTGGCCATTCAGAATGACTTCTCTCCAGTAAATGTAAAGAGAAAAATGTTATGAAAAACATTCAGTGAAAAACAGGCAGAGAATGTATAGGGGAAAATATTATAAAATAATATTCAGTGAAAATGGGCAGTAAATGTATAGGGGAAAATATATTCAAATAATATTCAGTGAAAATGGGCAGTAAATGTAAAGGGGAAAATATCACAAAGAAATATTCAGTGAAAATGGGCAGTAAATGTATAGGGGAAAATATGTTAAAATAATATTCTGTGAAAATGGGCAGTAAACATAAAGGGGAAAATATAATAAAATAATATTCAGGGAAAAATATGCAGTAAATGTAAAGGTGAAAATATTCATAAAGTAATATTCAGTGAAAAATAGGCAGTAAATGTAAAGGGGGAAATATTAATAAAATAATATTCAGGGAACAAATATTTCAGAAAAAAAATTAAGAAAAATATTATTTCTGAAAATAATATTCAGAAATGAGAGATGAGACCACCTGGAAAACCARCCAAGTAACCAATCCACCCCAGCTGTGCACTCTCACACATTTTAATTTAGAGATTACCCATTTTTTGTGCATTCCAGAAAAAAGATCAATCATGGTCATTTCAACATCAGTGAGGGTCTCACAATGACCAGAATAGGATCAAGRTACATCTTCTGAAATTGTATTAATGAATAGATCTGCTAATTGGAGCTGAACCAAGAGTGGAAGAATCCTGTGAGATGGTGGATCTGCACCTTTGGGTGCTCCCCAGCAGCACCCACACCAATGGATTTTTGTTTTTGTGATCATGAGGGAAGAGCTCCTGTACATATCCCTGCTCTCAGTGAACAAGAGTTTGCTCTCTCAGCTGGAAATGCTCCCCTCTCTTTGGAAATTTGGATTATTCAGAGCTGCTCCACCATCGCAGCACAGTGAKCAGGAATCCTCCCCAGCCAGGTGTACTCACACCCCTCACAGACCAAAGCAGTCTTTTTGGATTTTTTGAATTTTTTTTTTTTATCATTATTATCATCCAAACCTCCTGAATGTCAGAACAGCTTTCTTTTCCCTTTTTCTTTCCCTGTTTTCAATCCCTCCTCTGATTTATTCCGTGTAGTTCATCCCRGTCTGACTGTAGGGACAGCTGAAGCCTTTCCCAGCTTTCCCAGCATTTTGGGCTGAATTCTTTTGGGCTGAAACATGCAGAGATTATCAACACTGAACTTCAAAAGAAAAGCGGAGTGGTTCCATGTACCTTTATTTGTTTGATTTCATACCGGATCATTTTGTGGGTGTCGAGGGGGTTGTCGCTGGCAGGAACCACCTTTTCACTGATTATTTTTGCTCGGATCACTGGAAGAGAGACAGAGAGARAGAAAGATTTCAATGCAAATAAGCAGATGCCCAATTTTACAGGTAAAAGTGAAAATTGTATTGATAGATTTCAGCATTGTTGTGACAATTCAGCTACAAGCAGGTTTGAAATTTCTCTATAAAACACCAGCTGAGCTCCTGAAAACAAAAGGAAGTGGGCTGTCTGTGATGGAAATCTGAATTCTCATGGATCTGGAAACCTGATGGATGTTACCACTCAGTTTTGACAAAAACTGTCCATCAATATCTCTGGAAKATTCAAATCCCATCAAATTTTACAAAACACCCATCATTACAATGAGAGAGCAGGGGAAAGGGACACTTGTGCTGATGACTCAATCGTTGATCAATTAAACAGACTCAAAGTGATGCCCTGGCAGCCTGAGCCAGGCAAGATGAAAACACTGATTTCATGCGTGAAATCAGAAGAAAATCTTGTGTTTACTGTTCTGAGGCTGAACAGAGCTGTGTTAACCTGGAGAAATCAATTTCTCCCTGWTTTGATGTGCTTCATTTATTTCCTGTTCTTTAATCGAGGAAAGTGGGAGATTTTGTGAATGAAGAAATGGATTCTTTTCCCCTCTCTCTGTTTGAGGCATCTCTCTTGTATTTGATGTTTAAAACACACCAGKACTCTTTGGCACAGTGGTTCTGAGAATTTGGTACATGGCCAAAATTCCTCTGTGATTTTTATCCCCCAAAATTAGCCAGAATCCCAATTTTGCTCCGTTTTGGATGGCCACTGCCACAGCTCCTGGGTTGGAATGGGCTGTGCCTGTGGAGAGACAAAGGCTGGAGCAGAGGAAAATTCGGTGACATCAGAATCACATGTGCCCCCTAAAAACCCTCAATTTCTTTGCTAGATTGACCCCATTTTATCATATTTACCATCACAGCTAAAGAAAAGGAGCAGGAAACCCAACTGAAACCCAGCCAGGTAGARTCAGCCCCACCTAACCCTGGGCAATTCCCATTTGCTCACTAATTAGCAGAGCAAACGAGATGGAATAATCAAGGTGTTGCAGATGCTTGCAGCTTCCAAGCCCCTGTCCCCCATCCCTTGGCACGATGCTCCCTCCTCCTGAGCCACTGAAACTCCTTTTGAGGAGCGTTTTAAATTTATTTTTAGAATTTTGATTTATTTAAGAATTAAGCAAATTCCTCCTTTCCCAGKGCAAGTGGCAGCATCTCTTCAATCTGAGTGCCTGCAGAGCTTGAGCTGCTTCCAGGGGAAAAGTGCTGTGGGTTGTGTCCCTGCTGSCAGGGACAAATTAGGATTRTGCTGTTTCAGTCTGAGCTGCTSTCCTTTGCATYGCTACTTCCCAAATTAARRAAAAAAAAAAAAAGTTTTCTCAYTAAAAAGTCTGYTCAGTTCTGAAGGAAAGGGCTGAGAAAACAACATTATTTCCCCAGTACCATCCCATGATTTATGTGCAGGAAATCTTTTTTTTTTGCCTACTCAGTGTAGGGTAATGAAAATTACTCTCCSCACTTGTTTAATGTTGAAACACCGTGCATTTTCACATTTTTATGAAATTCTACTTGTTAGCACATGAGAGGAGCATTATGGATGATCCCTGACAGCTCCAGGGGTCTCCGTGGAGTTGTGCAAGGCTGGCAGTGTCACACTCTGGGGTTTGTCATGAAGAGATCTTTTAATGGGTGTGCAGAAGAAAATGAAAAGTATGTTTATGGTGAGTGTGTTTCATTCGTTTGTTTGTTCAAGGGAAAGCTTCCAGATGGCAAAGGAAGACAATTTGAGATTTTCTTTTTTTTTTATTTTTTTTATCAGTAAGAAAGTAAAGTTTTATTGTCTAAACTTTTAGCTGTTTGGATTTTACTATCCTATCCTCCTGAAACCAGATCCAAACACCCAGAGATATTTTGGAGCCTTTTAATCCTTCTCAGTTTTCCCTTTTTTTCCCCTTTTTCTGCACATGGCTATTTTTTTGCAATCAGTGCCGTCTCCTCCACCCTTTGCCTCATGTGGTGGTTTCTGTTCCTGACCACAAGCCCTTCCTGCAGGAGCATTCCTGGCCCTGTGCCTGCCCGAGCTTTGGGGTTCCTGGGGCTCAGGATTCCTCCAGGGCTGCTCTTCTGCTCAGGACACATTTTCAGCTGTTCCCTCTCCCTGGGGAGAGAGCAGCCTCTCCTTCTTCAGTCAATAATAGCTTTTTTTTTTTTTTAATCTGTCAGGCAATTATTGCTTCCTTGTGAGGAATTTGCATTTTTGCGCAGATTCTGAATCCCGATAATTCTGAACTCCTTCTGCRCCAAAAATACAAACTTTGCTCTGATACCTCACTAGGAGGATRTAACTCTTCTGTGGGGCTCAACTTTGATAAAATATGATTTTTTTTTTATGTCCACCGTGCAGCTGGGGGTTGTCTCAGGTGAAAGGAAATGAATTTGGGTTCCTGGAGGACAATGCTTGGCCCGTGGGCACTCAGGGTTAGAATTGCACTCGGGATTTATGGACTCCTCCTTTTCTGAGTARCAATGAGCCTTTTCCAAGCATCTGTGCATCCACACAATGTCATTTTGGTGATCATCGTTTGGGTAAAAAGACAGAAAAAACTTGGATTATCTTTTAATATATGTATTTATACAGTCAGGAGGAAAGTGTCAGGGTTTGTACAACACAGAAGTGTTCATAAGCAATAAAAGTTCGGCATTAATGGCATCTTTCCCAAATCTAGGTGATTTCCTTCTGGAATTAGCAACACTAATTAATACTGTAAATTAACTATGTCATCACCTTGTGTGTTGGAGATTTTTGTGATCATGAGGAACTCCTTTCACTAAGGGTGATTTCCTTACACTGAGGACATTCCCGGCCATGAGGTTGATTTTACCCCACCACAGTGACAAAAACAGTGAAATAGGGTTGGAGAGGAGACACAGAACTGAGCAGTCACAGATATGGATGGAGTCTGGATCAACCAAATCCCTGCTCTTTGTCCCCTGAAATTCATATCTTCATATCTTCATATATTCCCTACAAGCAGTGTCTTTTTAGACTGAGTTATTTTCTAATAACAGAGGGAAAATTGCTGYGTGAAGAATTACTCTCATTGTTCCAAGTCAAAATTATTAAGTAATACTTTCCGTATTTCACTATTTAATATTCTCTGTATATTACTGAATTTATTATTATTATTTTACAAGTGGTAAGGTTGTGCTCCTTAAGCTGCTTTTCACAATCCAAGTGGGTGAGGACAGGCTTTACTCAGCTAAAATAACCAACTTTGCTACTCCTTCAGAAGCAAAACAAATTGGAGTTTACTCCCCAGATAAACTTTATAATCCTAATTAATAGGAGGTGAGGGAGAAGGTAAAAAACTGGTGAACAAATGAGATATTTTCCCCCTGTATCTGTTAAGGACCAGCAGTTAAAAAGAGAAAAATAGGAAAATTAGGAACAGGAAAGTATTTAAGATATTGCTGGAGAGAACAAGAAATTATATATAATATAGAATTCCTTAGTGCATTCTTATTTAAAATATATAAATATATGTATATAGGCATCTTGAGGGAGAATCTGTTTCAGTTGTGCCTGCAGTTCACTTCAGGCTGTTCACAGGCTGCTCAATCTTCCCTGAATACAAAAGTGATCTCCATGACCTCTAAGCCATCTTACTCTGAATAAACCAGGAAAGTTTCATTGCTATCTCACAGGTTTATAATCAGAGGCAGCTTTGCTACAAAAACCTTCAAATAAGACTTCAAAAGCTGCCTTGACATTAAAAGCAACATGTAAGCCACTAAAAACTTATGATAATGATTCATGAAAATCTTTTTTTCTCTTATATTTTATAGACTCAATTGAGCCCTTTTATTGAATTACTAAAAGGATGAGGAGTGATTTTTAAGCACTCCTCTTTGCTTGTCTCCTCAATGTCTGACACTTCAGCCCAGCTGGTGTTGGTGTTCTTGGAGGGACAAGGAATGAACAAGGAGAGGGAACTAAATCAAATGTGTGGCTGGACTGAGGGTGGCATCCCAAATAGAGACAAAAATCATCCAGAAAGTGATTTTCTGGAACACCACGTCACTCAGGGTGTGCAGTGGGGAACATGGCAGAACTGTGGACACTGAATATGGATGTGCACCATTTTGGATTAATAATTCAATTAAATTCCAATTAACTCCTCTCTATAAAAATCTGTCCTTTCACAGAAATGAAAGCACTTTCACACACAACATGAACTGTTTCTGCTCACCCTTCTGCTGTGAGGTTAATTCAGACTTCTATCTATCTATCTATCTATCTATCTATCTATCTATCTATCTATCTATCTATCTATCTATCCATCCATCCATCCATCCATCCATCCATCCATCTATGTATCATATATAAATTATTTGTATATCTATATCTATCTATCATCTATTATCTATTACCTATCAATTCTTTATCAAATATCAATTATTTATGTATCATCTATAAATTATTAATCTATCTATCCTCTATTATCTATCTAATCTATCATCTATCAATTATTTATGAATCATCTATCAACTATCAATTATCTATCTATCAATTATCAATTATCTATCTATCAACTATCAATTATCTATCTATCTATCTATCTATCTATCTATCTATCTATCTATCTATCTATCTATCTATCTATCTGTTATCTATCTATGTATCCATCTATCAGGGCCTTTCTCTTCTTTAGGGTGCAGGAGCTCCAAACTTGCTCCATAAATGTCTTCAATTCCTACAAAATCCCAGCCAGAATTCGGGTAAAAGGAAAATACTGCAGTGACAAYTGCTGGAGCCCCAACCACAAAGACCTTGAGTTTTTGCAAACTCAGTTCACAATCTCCTCTTGTCCAAAAGTGATGGTTTTAGGGGATGGGAAGAGGAGAAGAGGGCTTTTTTTCCCCCCTCAAAATTTGTATGTAGACTCTTTTTTTCCTCAAAATAAGTCAATGAAAGAGGATTTGCCTCATTGCAACACTTCTGTGAC